ACAGCATTACTTTTTCCTCAGCATTCTAAAATGATGGTGCCACATATAATGGACTGCAGCTGGGTGATCAAGCTGAAACTTAATCCAGACAAGACAGAATTCCTCCTGGTTAAGAAACTGACTTGACCCAGTGATAGTCATTTCTAGAAGAGGTTATACTCTTCTTGAAAAACATGTTCTCTGCTTGGGTATGCTTCTGGAGTTGGCATTGTGCCTGAATGCCCAGAAGGTGATTGTGACTAAAGGGTTCTTTTGCCAACTTGGTCAATTTCTGTAAAGATCAGGTCTGGCCGTAGTCATGCATACCTCTGTTTTGCGGTGACTGGATTACTAAATGTGCGCCACATGGAGCTGTCTTTGAAGTCTAGAACCTTCAGCTAATACAAAATCATGCTCTGAGAGTCTTGATCAGCTCTAGACTTTTCGGTGAGTTCCAATGTTTTATTAGTCACATCGGTTACTGGACTGCTTCAGATAACAATTCCAAGTGCTCATCATCACCCTGTAAAGCCTAAATGCTTTATGACCACAACATCTAAAGGACTACCTCCTCCCATCAAAATTTGCTCGTCTGTTAAGGTAAGTTAATATCTGCTGAGGGAGCATCACTGCTTCTCCCTTGTTTGTCATAGATGCCTGACTGATCCAGGAGAGCCTAGATTTTTCTAAATCCAGATAGAGTAGACAGGGTTGAAACCACAACATAGGATTCAATAAACTCTCAAAATAGAGCTTAAATAGATTGAAAAGAAGGCTCAACATACAGAAAATGGACTATGTGGAGGTGGGGGGACCTGTGGCAATCTGTAACCTGTGAATAGTTGTACTGACCCTGTTTCTCTTGTGCAAGGTCAGGGCTTAGATCAAAGCCAACATCTCTCTTTCTGTTGAATAGCCAACTCTCAGATGAATAAGTCCTAACTGTCAGTGAAACTATGCTTCCCTCACCTCCCTGATTCTATCATTGTCATCCTTGGCAATTCAGGCCCGGCTACTACAGCAAGGCCACTTCATTATATATTCAGTAAACAGAGTACAATCCAGTATATGGCTAATATAGGATTCAATGGGAATTACTGTCAGGTAAGTAAATCTAAATATAATTGCAACCTAAAGTGGCCAACAGTTATTTCAGTTTGAGCACCACCAAGCAGAAGGAGGGTTGAAGGTTTGCATGGTTTTATTCTGGATCCGTTTCAAATTATATTAATTATATTTCCTGTCAAAGGCATGGGAGCCTTGACCTGTCCTTTAGATCAGCATGGCCTACTGGAAGGAACCAGGCGCTTTGCTTCATGTCAGTACTGCTAGACATGGAAGAATTATTATTATTAAACAGCTGTGAAATAGCTGAGGCCTTTTCTATGATCATGTGTAAATATATGAGAATTCCGCATTCCTTGGTGAAGCATTAATTTTGGTGTCAATTGTTCTACATGGCTGCAGTCCATTTGTCCTCAGGTCTCTCACAAGTGAAGCTGGGTTCCCACATGTAGTAGAAATCAGCTTATCCTCTGTAGATCCATTTGATCCTTGATGTCAGCTTGTGAGGCTTTTTCCGATGGCTCCTCATGATCCTGAGGGTTTTTGGAGAAAGCTATTCAGTGTAAAGATGTATGCAATTGAGGTATCTAGCTCTTGAGATTTAGACATGTGCTGATTCTTTTTATCTTAGGCTTATGGTGGAAACACATCTGTTTATGCAGGTCTGTGTAATTTAGCTGACCACCTTATGCATATATAAATACAACATATCCCATGTATTGGTTTTGTGTGTTTATGGTTTTATGATTTGTGTGTACCACTTTGAGATCTGCAGGTGTAAGCAGCTTATAAAAATCAGTAACTAAGTAGATGCATAAATAAATAGCTGATATCCTGAAGTGATACCTATTCAGATGGAATATACTGCTTTTGAATATACTGTCACATAAAAGCACTCTGTAAATAGAACACAATCACATCAGGAATTTGCTTTTTAAAAGCAGGGAGATATTTTAAAAAATGACCCCCCTCCCCATTCTGAAGTGGCGGGGTCCACTCTGCCACCTCAGCATTTTGTTTTGCTGCACCTGTAGACCAGGCCCAAGTCCTAAGTGAGCATGTGCTGGATGGCCAGAAAGAGGGCAGGTTTTTTCCCTGTCCTAGTAAGTCAGCCTTTCTCACTGCAGTGAGATGTGCAATTTTCTATTCACTGTATAGTAATTAGCTCTAAATTTGCATATCTGCATAAAATTAGCACATGCAAATGTTATGCAAATTGCTGTCCTTTTGTTGGTAATGCATTTCCTCTCATCTGGTGATGTGCTAACTGGCCACCCTACTGGCAATGACTTAAACTAGGTTAAATCTGAAAGGGAGCAGATACTGACTGGCTTTGCACTAGATGATAGGCCATGGTGGCTGACAAGCCACAGGTGGCTTGTTAGGTTGTCTGAACCCAGCCAGAGTGGTTTACAAACCATGCTGCCGCGTTCAGTTAACACGAGAAGCCATCCCTGGCTTATAAACCCAGGCATTGTGGAGCCCCTCACTGCTGCCAGAGCTGATAAGAAGTTCATGAGTAACACGAACGCCTGCATCTTGGCATGCTAGTTTAGCTTTGCTGTTGTGAAATACAGAAAAGGGCCTGCTGCAAGTAGCTATGGTGGGGTTTTTTCCTTCTGGCATCTTTCCAGCAAGAGTTCTAAATGAAAAAGGAGCATCACAGGTCTCTGGGATGAGAGTCCCAAATGGCTAATGTAGGAGCACTGTTGGTTGGGATGATTAGTCTGCCATCTGAGAGAACAATTCCCATAGCCGCTTCAATCTGCTGTTGCTTTTCTCTGCTCTATATACTCTGGCTGCTGGGAACACGAGAGAAAGGATGCTGTTGTGCTCCGGTCCAGCTTGTGGGTTTCCTGTGGGCAGCTGGTCAGCCACGGTGTGAACAGAATGCTGGACTAGATGGACCTTTGGCCTAATCAGCATGGCTCTTATTAATCCCCACCACCATTTCCATCCCCTTCCCCTGTTGAACGGTTAGGTGATTTGCTGTAAATACACCAAGATCCTAATTGCTGTGGAACCATGAACAGGAAGGTTATTGCATGTATGTTTTGCTTAGAAGCTTCTCCTAGGGATCCAGTTGGCCACTTTAGAAGCAGAGTGTTGGAGGAGATCAAGGCCCTTGACCTGACCCAGCAGGGTTCTTCTTAGGTTCTATACACTTATGCTATCCCATCTTGGTGCAGCTAGGGCTGGACCTTGGCTTCAAAGTCTATGAGGTCCTAAAAGCAGCATGAGGTGGGAGCTGTGGCCAACAGGCCTTGTGCCAGCACCTGGGTGTCCACCAGGGCAGATGCTCCATACTAAGCATCTTTGCTTCCTATTTTTAAACCTGTTAGAGTTAAGAAGCAACTAACTAAGCATGACTATAGTTACAGGTGCTTGCTTTATTTTTTTAAAAGATATTATCTACAACCAAACGGAAACAGCTGTTTGTGCAAAATGTGGCAGCCAGATTATTAGCAGAGACAAAGAAGTCTGAGTATTTAACATCAGTCATGGCCTGCTAGCATTGCACACATGTTTCCAAGCCCAGTTCAAGGTGCCAGTTTTAACCTATAAAGCCTTACATGGCTCAGCATCGCAAGTTTCAAAGGATGGCATCAAGGGAGGGGACCTTCTTTCAGTGGATCCAGATTGTGGAATGCTCTCTCCGCTGAGGTCTGCCTGGCACCAACATTGTCATGGTTCTGGGGCCAAATTAGAACTATCCTCTAGTCTCAGATAGTTGATGGCATACAAGGGGCATTTCTGTCAGTTGTCTTCTCAGATCTAGTATCTTATTACAACTGTTTCTATCTGTCTCAATTTGCTTTTAAATTTTGTAAGTTAGAGATTTTATATTGTGATTTTATTATCTTGTGCTTGTAGGTTGTAATTTACATGAGCTGTACAGAGAGCTTTGGTTATTGTAGAACAGAAACAAACTAAATCTATGTAAAAGAAATAATGCTATCTTAGATTGACTACAGCAGTGACCTTGCTGAAAGAAAGGTCACTTGATGTAAGAGAGGGAAACAGCTTCCCCTTCTTTATCTGATGTGTTTGGTGGTGGGGGACACTGGGGAGTTCAGCCCTCAACCACCAGGAGTGGAATGTCTGCCAGCAGCTGATGGGTGCTTTATACTTGGCAACTATGGGATGGCAAGCAAAAGAAAGAAAGATTTTCCCTTTTACTGTTGCTAGATGACGCCAGAAAAATTCTTTCTGTGATTTTTGTGGGGCAAAAACCTTGTATATAAACTCCCTTTGCTTGGAGGAATGGCGTGGACAGATCATGAGAGATCCTTGGAAGGGCCAGCCTGTGAAATCTTTGACGCTTCTTCCCACCAGTGCTTGAAGTGGTCCAGGACTATACTCCTCACTTCTACAGCAGGCTTTAAATGTTGTCCCTTGAAGGCTTGTTAATGCTTGAAAACATGATAAGAGAGATAACAATGTTTCACATAACGCATAATGTTTTAGTCAAATATCTTTGTTATTCTTTTATTTTAAAATATCGTATTATTAAATATGTGTTTCATGGCTGCAAACTGCAACTCAGCCACATGTACATTCACCAGAATAAGTAACTCTTTGATTCCATTGGTGAAACTTGCTTTGATTTCAAGTGGTTCACCCAACAACTGTTTTGAAAAATATGGGAATGTATTATTTTTAAAAATACTAATTGTAAAATGAGTTTCTAGGCTGCAGTATTTGTATCTAAGCACCATAAAGTGTTGTATAATTCTAAGATAATTAATGTTTTAATCCTGTACACACTTGTCTGTAAGTAAGTTTCACTGAACTCAGTGGGACTTACTTCTGGATAGGTGTGGTTAGGATTCCATTGCAAGAATATGATCAACATGTACAGAAGACCAAAGCAAATCAAATTAATAAAAACAAAGATCAAGCCTTATGATGAAATGAAAAGAAAGCTTAACTTGTTTTCTTGCTTTTTTTTATAGAGAACACCTGTTCCCAGCGCCGAAGCATTCCGATGGTTCTTTTAAGCAGTAGTATATCTTATTTTCAAGGCAGCCTGAAGTGAATGGCAAGCTAAAGTCTTGTTTTAAGAAACTGCTTAGTCCACCACTGAAGAATATATTCAGATACTATTTTCATTTATGTATAGGGGTTTCCTCAAAAGTAAACAAACAACAAATTATGAAGTAGAGTGGTCTCCAGGTAAGAGGGGGGTGGGGAAACAGCTTTGGAGAACCAATCAGCAATTAAACAAAACATCCCCCACAGAAATGCCTGAACATAAGATAGTGCTGTTTTTGCTCTTGTCCCATCATTCTCACAGTCTGACTTCCTGTGAAAGATGCGCCTTTTCTGTGCACCATTGTTCACTGTCCTGGCTTTTCATACTGTTCACAAACACAACCCACCTCCCTCCCAAAATGACCCAGTTGCATTATTTGCAACTGGCCCAAGTCTTCTCTACTGCCATGTGCTTTCCTGACAAAGAGAACACTCAATGTAAGAGAACACTAAAGCAGCTATTGTGAGAGCCACTCTCTTATCAGGAGACCACCACATCCGGGACCCTGGGGAATTGGCCAGTTTACTCACAATCAGTTCACCAATTCTTTCGTTGATGTAATTTAGCGATACTAGTGCAGTTGTTGTCTATTTTTAAAGTGGCTGTAAAAAAAAGTTTGGGTAAACCCCTGCTATAAAATAATGTATCTTTACAAAGTACCATATCTATACTTCATTTTCCAATATATGTGTTTCAGTACTGTAAACTGTACAGATAGCAGCTTGTATTTTGTGTGTTTAGGCACAAGGAGACAATCATGTCTGAGAGTCTATGGAGATTAACTGTTTGTACACAACAGTGTGGTTCTGCAAATTGAATCCGGAGCAATAACTTCAAGCTTTAAATATGATTTTTGCCAGTTGTCCAGTCGCAGCAGCACCGTTTTCACCATGCATCCTTCCGTTGCTACCCAATGTGAAGTTGAGCAAGAGTAACGATGATGAGCCATCTACCAGATACTTTCAGACCATACTGTTGTATGAAAGCAAAGAAATTAAAATGTAAACGTTAATCTACATGAGCACTATATTAGAGTAGTGATTACACACTTGCATTGCTTCAGAAAGAGCTTTACAGGATGAGTATCCCTCCAAGCATGCTCTGTCAATTGCATGACTCATGTGAGGCTCATGCGATGGGGCAGCATATAAGTTGTTTAAATGAATGAATGAATGAATAAATAAATAAAATGACTTTGTCCTGCACCTCAAAAATAAAATTTCCAGCCTTGGTGAATGGACAGAATTCACTTTACCATGAGTTATGGCAGAGCTGTTTCAGGATACAAAATGAAAAGGATACCATATATTGGGAGGGGCAGCAATCTACTCCATATATTTATCTTCCTTCTGGAAGTTGCTTTACAGATCATTCAGCAGGGGGGAAACTTTATAAAGTATCTAAAACTATTTTTGATCTATGTGAAGCATTTAGTTCTTATAGTCGTTTGTAAATTTAGACTGTCTTTGAAGTCTCTGCAGGTCATGTGGGCCTGAATGTCTTTAAGGTTTTCACAAATGTTAGCACTTTTAATAAAATTGAAATTGAAAAATGAGTACCCCTCCCCACCCCCACTCATTTTCCCCCCATGCTGGCCCTTACAGCAGTCACTGGAATTCTGCAACATGGAATTTCGGCTGTACTTACAATACACTCACTTTGTTGATGAGTTAAATTATTCATAAATAAAACAACAGGACATAGGATTCCTAACAAGAAGTAATCTCATCTAGTTTACTTTATCATCATAGTCATCTCATCAAAATCAGTGCTTTGTGTAATTAAAAAATTACTGGTGATAGTAGATGGATGGGGGGAAACGATGGGGAGGTGTTTTGGAATGCTCATGGCCTCAATTGTGCTAAAGACAGCTGGAGAGTAGAGAGTGAGAGCTCTCCTAGAATCTTAAAAACTGCAAACAATTACACCTACCTCCTTTAAAAGAGTATTACCCTTCTGACTGCAAAGGGGGAAACCCTGAAAAACACTTGTAGTTAGCTAGAGCTTGCTTGTACGGGGTTTCTAGTGCTTATTGCGGGAATGGATGTTGTAATGTTTATATTAAGCACAGCTCACACTCCTGTATTTGCTCTCTCTTTCAAGGATACACACATGAGATAGCTGAGCACTGATTTGTGACTCCTGAACATAGTTTAACAGTCCTTGCTTTCTTCACAATTGCCCTATCATATGCAAAAGTGTAGATTTTCTAAAGTTTGCAGTTCATGTTTAAGATAGGCGATTCCAATCTACATTTGCAATTGTGAGTATAGAACCAAGGGGTGGCAATATTACTGGCCAAGTAACTCAAAGCAACCAGATGTGATTTTGGGCATATAGTTTCATGAGATCTTTTCCTTGCCTGATTCCTCTTCTATCTTAGTTAAAACAACAATAACGCAAAATCATTTTGCATCAGAAAAAAATCAAAATATGCAATGCTGGCTATTTTGCATAATGTATTCTTATTGCAGAATGCCTTGTTACAGAATACGGAATTGTCAGAATGAAATTCTAATGCACACACAGACACGATATTGGGACAATATGTCCACACAGCATTTCTTTTAAATCTTATCTTGGCAATGTGTTTTTTTCCGTTTTTTTTTTTTTTTTTCATTGTACCATAGGGCAGGCTCATAAGCTTGAAAGGTAATAAGTCTTTTGGACAACAGGAAAGTGTTATGATACAGACTCCCCCATCTGGTACCCTCCAGATGTTTTAGACTGTGGCTGCCACATCTGGAGGGCACTTGATTGGGAAGTCAGAAGGCCATCACAGTGAATCTTTTCCAGTCTGTGACTTGTTTTCAGCGGCCTTTTGAAACCAGAAGTTTTATTATTAGATGTCTTTCTTGTTTCAGTTTTGTGGCAGTTTAACCCCTGAAAATAACATTTGCATGGTAATATCCAAAGACTAAATTGGTTCTCTTTCACCACATTGAGCAAGGTTATGATATGTAATCCAGAGAAAGTAAAGCTTATTTAAATTTGGAATCATGGAATATAAATGCTTAGAAGAGGCTTTTAAAACAAATGGTTTTCTATGAGGCATGTGGACTCAATATTCTATGGATGGAGCCTGTGTGATTCCAGATTGTTTTCTGTGCTCAACTTCATACATCTTTGGAACAGTTTTTGTGGTTTTCTACTGGAAAGCCTGCATGAAAGAGTACAGTCTTTCTATAAGAGTTGCAGTAATATAAAGAAGGACTATTCCTAATTTATGAGAAGCATCTGAATAAATGTTCCATGTTTTAGTAGTAGACTTCTCAGATGGCTTGCACCTTGCTATTTTCTCATGTTATGTGCACCAATATGTCAAGAATTGTGGGCATGGCCAAGAACCATGAAACAAGCAAAAGCAATTAACGATTTAGAATGGTTTGGGGCAGAAATGTCAGTGTGGTGGAGCAGAAGCAGTACAATGTAGAAGGATGATACATTGCAAATAATTTCAGATGGTGCATATTCCTAAGCTGTATGCCATGAAATACCATATCCATAACTACAGAAAAATCATATTTTATTTTCATGAATGCAATAAAAATTGGTGTATCTGGCATTATTTCCTTTGAAACATTCTTGTTCAAGACTGTCTCCAAGAATCTGGGTCCATGTGGTATTTTGACCCAAGCAGATGCTTCCCAAGATGTGGTCCAAGAATTTGCTTCCCAAAATAGCCACCATAATTAATCTAAGAGGTATCTCCCAATGTTTCCCGTGACATCACAAGAGTTCTTGAATGTCTTTTACTTTTAGCTAAGTGGTGACCCTTGGACTACATATCACTTCTGCTTTGAAGTGGCACTTCAAAGGTGACAGGTGGTTAATACTGGGAGTGTTGGATGACCAGGCTTTTCAGTAGTTAGGGCTGAGTTCTCGAGATATTCCTAAGGGTGTTCCATGGGGAAAGTTAATTGTCCAAGGGCTCCTCTTCCGTGCTGCTGCTTGTTTAGCATCCTAAATTAGTCCTTTATTGTTTTTCCATGTTAATTGTTGAGCAGCAAAGCTATTTATGGCCATTTTTCCAAGAAAAAATAAAATAACCATGATTTGATAGTTGATTATTCTTATATTAAATGTTGACGCCTTACTTGCCCATCCAGCTGTTGAGCTTGCCTTGTTTGAAAGGAATTTTGTGATCACTGTTAACAAAAGTAGGGACAAAAGAATTCATCCCAGGCTACGTTAGGTGTACAATGATCCATAGCAATGTACTTACTGTCTTATACCCTGATGTTGCATGTCTCAATGTGGTTTCATTTCTGGGGGGATTTTATGTTTGTTTGACTGATTGATTTTAAAAGAACTGATGAATTTGTATATTGTAATTGTGATGTTTACATGTCAAATCCAAATTGTTAAAATACCAAGTCTATTATTTTTTAAAATGAAAATATTTACTTTCATTCCCTCAATTATTATTAATTGCTTTGGAAATTTTCATTTAATTTTACAGCATCATCAAGATTTTTCATTTCACTGACACAATATTTGTATAATGTAGTGCATATATTTAGAATGTTTTGGTTATGGGTGTTTTGAAGAAGGAAATCTGTATTCTGACTTTTTATCCTCTGTTCCCCTCAATGTGGTATCAAATTATTTGTAACATAGATTACTGTTAGGGTTTTGAATCTTATTTGTGTTCCCTAAAACCTCCCTAAGGTTGAAGTCCTATACATATTTACTTGAGAATAAGCCATATTGAACTCAGTGAGGCTTCCTTCCAAGTAGACTTGTATAGGATTTTGCTGTAAATATTTTAAAATAATAATAATAATTGCCAGAGTACTTTTACTTTTGGCAAAGGGATGTCTCTGCATGAACCAGGGGATGCAATGGCAGAGACCCCTGTTCCTGGGGAAGTCAAGCACCCCTCATGCAAAAGTTCTGTGCATTCTTCACAAGGCTCAGGTTTGGGACAAAGAGTGTACCTTTGATGCCTTTTAGAACTGAGCATGAAATATGCCAAACCAGATAAAGTATTTTTACCATTGCTCTGATGGACCTGTTCAATTATGACTTTGCAAGCTAAGCACACATAGGCAGTATAGGAATTAATAATAGTCAACTCTCTGAGAAAGGAAATACTCCCTTTTGTTCAAAACCCCCTGGTATGGAAGTCATACAATTAACACTAAAGAATATGAAGTCTTTAAACTGGCTATGTCTGTAATCAAATCATGGGGAAAAAAGAAGATGACGAAAGTAATTAAATGAACATACCATCCACGGTCAAATACATCCAGCAAAAAACAGTGGTGGGTCTTTGATCATGGTTGGATGCATAGTGATATCAAATAGTTGGTTCTCATGTAGCAGCTAAATGTTTCAGGTTTTGTTTTTATTAAATTTGGCAGTTTCACACTGAGATCTGCTGATTCCTGGCAAATAAGAGACAGCTCAAATGTGAGAAAGTATTCCATTTTCACAATTGCAGGGAGCTAGGATTATTTTCTTTTTCTCTCAGAAACATGGGCCACAAAAATGTACTCCTTTCACACTGTTCTCCTATTTCTGAACTGTGCAGTTATCTATTAAATTTTCTAATAGATCTTTGTGTAAAGTGTATGTATGCTTGTGCAATTATGGAAAAAGCAGTTTTGGAAAATTGTGTATTTATTTCAAATCACTTATGGGGCATGTACAAAACTGTATAAAACCATTCAATTTGCCCAGTAAAGTTGTTTTTGTGAAATTTCTGTGTTGTTGAATAAAGGAATTTAGTACTCTAAAGATCTCTCTCTTTCCATGGACAGATTTTGTTTGAGGGATCTTAAATACTAATGTTATTGTCCTTGATAACAACCACTCAGAATAAGAATAATAGATTCGGATTCTTAATTGCTACTTATTCCAATAAATGCAATGAAGTTTTGGATATGCACAATGTTTTTGCTCTTTATTAGTATTTGACAGACATCTCCTGAATTGTGTACATGATAGCTCCACTATAAATGCATCTTAAATAAATAGGTAAATATTTGACATATATTTTGGGCTAATAAAAATAGTCAATCATTCATCAGAATATATCAAGGGCATGTAAAGAACCATCATACAATTAATTCCTCAATACTCACTTGGCCTGTTTGGATGATGGAAATTAGTTATATATTGCATTTTCTCTACATATATATAATGTGGTATTGCATTCCTCACAGTATCAAGTGTTATTCCCTTCTGATGAAATTACCATTGTGTTAGTCTCTTAAAATATGTTTGGATTATGAAACTGTTTCAGTATCAGCAGTAGTCCTTTACCCCTATTTTACTGCTCTTGTACAAAGTCCTATTCACTAGATGCCTTGTAAATGCCAAGAGGTAGGAAAAACAGGTTCCTTCACCTTGTAAATCCATATTGTGGTTACCAACACCTGGAACAATTTCAAACAGTTTGAATGTTTTTGGCCATAATCCAACACCGTATAAAGTGCACTTAAGTCCATTGATATCAGTGGTCTTGAGACTGCCTCGCTTTTGTGACAGCCCATGCCTTACATGTTTTTATGAAGT